ATTTTCGTATTTGATTCACTCGCGCATTTTTTTCGTAATTGATTCACTCGCGTATTTTTTCGTAATTGATTCACTCGCGTATTTTTTCGTAATTGATTCACTCGCGTATTTTTTCGTAATTGATTCACTCGCGTATTTTTTCGTAATTGATTCACTCGCGTATTTTTTCGTAATTGATTCACTCGCGCATTTTTTTCTTATTTGATTCACTCGCGCATTTTTTTCGTAATTGATTCACTCGCGTTTTTTTCGTAATTGATTTACTCGCGTATTTTTTCGTAATTGATTCACTCGCGTATTTTTTCGTAATTGATTCACTCGCGCATGTTTTTCGGATTTGGTTCACTCGCGTATTTTTTTCGTATTTGGTTCATTCGCGTATTTTTTTCGTATTTGGTTCACTCGCGCATTTTTTTCGTAATTGATTCACTCGCGTATTTTTTCGTAATTGATTCACTCGCGCATTTTTTTCGTATTTGATTCAATCTCTTTTGATTCATTTGATTCATCGTACATAATAAATAAGCTGTTAATAACTCAGCAGTTGAGGTGTGACTCACTATCATTTGTCGGCACGGCATCGTCGGCACCACCGTTTGGAATAGTGTGACCTATAATCAATACAGTGTTAAACAATAGGGAAAAGAAAACAAAAATGTGTTAATCGATCCATGCCAATGTGGTCTGTTGGGTCAAACACGTGAACCGACGTGCTTTGTTTCATTGGTCTAAAGTTAAGTTTCACGTTCATCCACTCGATCGGCATCATGAAAATACGAAATAAGCTTAGTCTATACTCAGAGCACTAAAAACTTTAGTGGTCTGAAGTCTATACAACGTTGTATATGTTTGCTAATGTATTTATCGAACATTGCAGTCTATTCCCTGCTTGAATTCGGATTTCTACAAGTTGTCTTGGCCCCGGAAATGAACCCAACAGAATATAATTCAAATGAACATTCGCAATTTCTGTTTGATGAAATATAGAACTTCTCCCGAGAAATTATCTCTGATGGTGGTTATCCCGACGAACAAGTTTATAATTGCGATGAAACTGGTATATTTTGGAAGCTGTTATCGTCGAAGTCGCAAGCAACAGCAAACGACCCACATAATATCGGACATAAACAACGCATCACTGCAATGTTTACAGCAAACAAAATCATGATCGATTCTTATTCGAATATTGCCTATTGACACATGTGATGATACAGCATACAATTATAGCCGCTGTAATTTGCGACTCTGTTGCCAATTTTTTTTTATTATCATCTAATTTTATACAGTAAAGTGGTTGCTGCTTTTGATCAGGCAGTATTCATATTGGTAATAACAGTGGGTCCAAACGTTTGGGGTTGTGACGTCAAGGGGTTCAACCGTCGAGGGGTCGCCGTAATTCGCAATTCTGTTGCCAAATTGAGGTATCTTCTAGTTTTAGCCAGTAAAATGTTGCAACTTGTAACGAATAATGATGGGTCCAAATGTTGAGGATTATGACGTCAAGGGATTCTACAGTCGAGAGGTCGAAACGTCCAGGGTCAAAACGTCGAAGGGTCCAAACGACTTCCTTTGAAAAATACCAGTTAAACGAGTCGGGATACCTGATGTGGGTCTTTGCAAAGAAAGAATCATAATACCAAGGATTTATAAATCCCTGATATTACTAATTCCGACTGTGCAACTCAAGTGCAAATAACTTGGCAAAGAATTTGTATAGTGATGACTTCTTAAATTGTGTGCCATTTGCCGGTGTTTTATATAAAATTAATCAAAGTCGTACCACAATTGTAACTGTATTCTTTTTGATTCTAATTTTTTAGATACCACGACAAATAAACAGCCACGACAGCATCATCATTACCAACAATAACAATCGTGAAATCGCCATACAATGTACACCGAGGTCCTTGAACTACATAAATGAGTGGCTATTTGCAGTTATCTGAAATGTTTATTGACCTTGATATTTGTCCTGGCATATTCGATACGTACATGATCATAGGGGATGTGACGTCACAATTCACCATGAAATTCATCCATTGCACAGCCGAACAGTTTGCTCCAAAACAATTTTACCCATAACTGTCACCGGAAATTACGATTATGATCTGAAAGACAAGTCATATTTAATAGATTAAAGGACAAAAATCACTCAAAGCGAGACAGTTTGGCAACGTGGATATTTACGTTCTATGTCGTGTACTTCTCTCACAGTTTCTGGCAAGTTTTCTGTATTGAAAATCTCAAAACACTCAAACAACTTGAAAACTGGTCATGTGCATATCACATGTGTCGAATCTATTGTTTGATTACAATCTTATCAGATAACATTTTAACTCGTGATGTGGTCACATGACCAAGGACCTCGTTATCTCGATATAAAAATACGTGACGTGAACGAGTCGTTTTTATTCATGTCACCACATAGCTGGGACACCTGCGATAATTTACAGGTGAGTTTATCTTGTATGTACTATGCTTGTTGTCATTTTCGTGGAGTGTCTGGATTATGGTATAGGCCGCTTTCAAACCGAACCGATCATGAATATGGCGACTCAGTACCGCGAACGGTTTGTCATATACTAGTACCTCGCCAGACAGGAACCCTAGCGAACATTGACTGGACAATTTTTTTCAGAAATTGTCACATATGCGTTTTAACAGTGGTACTGTGGTTTTTCTAAAATATGTTTAACATATATGACGACTGAGATAAACTTTGACATGGTTTTGTTGGGGGAGTATATAGATAAACCACCGTCCGTGTTGAGGGACGGTGGATAAACTAAAGGTCGTCGTGCCACGTCCTGTTC